ATGTAGAGCACAAAGCCTTGTTCTCTCTTAAAGCGAGGACTTTAGTAGCTGGGTGAGGTCGTTTGCTTTAGCATGGTAAACGGGGAACATAAACTCCTGTACTTTAAATTTGTTAGAGAAGAATAGGGACCAGAAGGGGCATTTTATTGGTTTGTGGATAACTAATGCATTAGGTGTCAATGATAAAAGCACTGCTTGCCCATACATGCTGCATCCATCCACATTACCATCCATTTCATATACATCCATCCTACCACCTAGCCCTGCGTCAATACTTCAACCTCCTTGCAGTTCTAACATTGCTAAACATGAAGAGCGAAGCGAAGTTAACGCTTATGAAGACTGCAAAAGAGTAGTTTTTGGTCTACTTGTGGCACCTGAATTTCCTTTTGTGTGTTGGCACAGAGGTCATCCGCATGGATTGTAGTCGAGGTGAATTTAACTGCCGGTAAAAACGAAAGCATGATCCGATGCGGAATGAATAGTTCAGCTAATAGGGAGAAGACGACGATTGGGTGAAACGAAGCGAATACTGATTGCTGACGTGTCAACTTTGGTAGGTGTGGTCTCACGCACTACATTTGCTATGCTACTGGTCTAGTGGAGGTGCTGAAAGTTGATCGTATCCATTGAAGTTAATGGAATTGACCAATGGAACGCACAAGACGCGGTACCCACGGAGATGTAGTTAAAAGTGATAGAATTGAAGTGAAACGATTCTATTAGGAATGAAGAGGGGAGGAAGGGAAGGGAAGAATGGAGGGCAGAAAATAAGGAGGAGTGAGTGTAAGTTTATGGGTATTTGACGATCGGCGTAGACCCTTGCGGATATCTGGCGATCAGAGTAGCCTGCACTTTCACTATCATCCTCACTCGCGCCCTCACTTTCCCTCTCACCTCATTCTCTTTCGTCTGTTTCGACGCTCTGTATGGCGCTCCATATCTTCCATCCCACTGCCCTGGCATGTGTCAGATTTGTGGATTCCACATGTCACCTGTCACCTGGTACCGGCTGTCTGGGGTTGGTGGAGTCTAATGCTGGAGTAACCACCAAGGCAAAAGCCGACCCATGCAATGCAGCGAATTGGCTATAAGTCGTCCTGGTCGACCATCGAAAGAGAGAATACGTTTGCCCACTGACAGTTAGTGTTTGTTTGCGACTCCCACAAACCCAGGACGTCGGCTTCGCATTTTGCTTCACCATTTGCTGCTTTCATTGCGTCTTCCGATTTAACAGATACCCTGTTTCGTGTCTGCAGAGCTGATTTGCGAGTCTGGCGATGTGGGAGACGAGTCGCCCCTATCTAATGTGAGAATATGCGTCTTTTCGGTCCATCGTCTTGTCGACTCGACCGGTC